GAGCCGCCCTAAATAGAGACACACACTTTATTTTATGATTGAACTTCACTTATTTATTTATTTTCTTCCTCTGCCTGGGTCTCCTGGCCTGGGTGAGATTATTGAACTTATTTGTGCAGTGGCCCCCGCGCTGAGGATGTGACTGAGCGCTGTGGGGCCGGGGGGGGCGGGGGGTGGATGGAGAAAAATAATGTTTTGTATGATAAAAGACAAATGATATCTGCCAGAAATAAGAAGGAAAATAGCCAGGGTTTTCCTAAAAATGCAGGAGATAAGATAGCTCTCATAGGTAGGAGCGGTTGTCCCTGATGAACTGGGATTTGTAGAACTAACACAAATTCTCTGAAACGGTGCATTTATTTGCATTTACTGTTCTCTGTAAAGCCTCTGGAAATTCGAAGCAATGGGATGTGAATTTAAGAAGAAAGTTAATAGCTTAATTAATAAAATATAATCTTTCTGTTCTGCTAGAAATACAAATCTCTCTAAATCTTTTTTACCATTTTCATATGTCTTGTGCTATAAACAAAGCTGCCTTTAAAATGCTGGTATGGGGCTGACTGTGAGACAGCATGGGTGCATCTTACACCTTTAAAAGTATGATTTTTCTGGTATAAATATGTCAGCCTTGAGACTGGAACAATCGAGAGCAGCAAACACGAAGATGAGCTGCTGTTAAGAAGGTTGGGGTTTTTGTTGCCAGCGTGGGTATTTTGATCCATGTTTGTGGCTCTTTACAGCTCTAACAGATATAGCTGTGTCAGCAGTCGTGCGTAGAGGTGGGCCTGACCTTGCAATCGCCTGAAGAAGTGCCTGCCAGTTTCTTCAGACTTTTCTCTTATGCCTGCTCCACCCTCCTTAGCACTGGAGAGTCCTTCTCCGCTCCCTTCTTCCTCCTCTTGTTTTAGAAACGAAGGCTGTGCTTTATTTTTCCATCCAGTTCTTGCAGTTAGGGGGCACCACTTACAATTATGACCTGTCTGGCTCCGTGTGGGAGGCATCGATTTTGGAAAAATGTGCTTTAAGCTACTGAGAAAACTCCCTGTTTTTTAGAACTACTTTTTTTGTTGTTGCGTTAAACAGAGCTGCTGATCTAGATCACTGGTTTCTACTGACGAGCTGCTGCATAATTCTGTAGAACTGCAGTCAGCTCCTGTGCTTTTTTTATGCTGCTTGACAGGCTTTATGTGGGCTTGGTGCTAAGGAGTTCTCTCTGACCTCAAATTCCTTGATAGACAATCTGTCAGCTTTGGAAATTCCAGGAGAGTGGCAGAAAGAGGATACAGTACTGGTGTATGGTATCTTTTCATGCACGTATATCAGTATTTCAGCTGTTCTTTGCTCCTCTGTTTTATACTTGTTAGGTGCCTGGAATTGAAGGGTACAGTTTTTTATTGGGTTCTTATGACTAATGCCTTCTTTTCCAGGGGTTTGCCACCACCGCAACAGCAACAGATGCTGAGCTTACGGGCAACAAATCAGCCATCGCTGCTCAATGCCAATCCTATGCTTCAGCGGGCCTTACTCATGCAGCAGATGCAAGGTACTGTCGTTATGGGAGACGCTTACTTATCGGAGTTATTTAATCATCCTTCATGGACTGAAACCATAGTATGGCTATTTCTTGCTGAACCATTGCAGTCCTTGTATTTGGCAGTTCTGTTTGTGGGGTTTTTTGGTTTTTAACTCTTCAAATTTGTCCATAGTCCACAGAGGTTCTTCAGTTGTTCAAATTCCTGTGTGCCCAACTGTTCACACCTGGGAATAGCACTAGAAGGTATCGGGGTTAGATACTAAATATGTGCCTTCCCTCTTAGCCTCGTGGAGCAAGTATTTACCATCAATATATTTAGATAAAATACTTAGATTTTTATTAGTTTGTCTTTCTTGGTTGGAAGGTTAAACAGTTTATTTCTTGTCTGTTACACATACTCTAACCCTGTTTGCAGTGGATGCTTGTCTTTGTCCAAACTTAGTGCAGTACAAACAAATAAAGTATATTGTGTTGGAAAATGGTTTGGGTTTCAGTTGTCTTGTGAAATTTCAGTTCCCTGAAATGACTGTCATTTGTGTGGTGGATAATATCACTGGTTTTCCATCACTGTGTTTCCACCAGTGGATTTTTTTTGCCAGATGTGATGTTTTCAAAACAAATTTATGAAGCTGCCTTAATGATAGCATTGCTAATATAAAGATACTAGGAACAAAGCTGCGTTTTTATTTTTGCTCATATCTTAACCTGACAGCTCTTTTCAACACAGCAAATCAGTACCTGGGATAGTTCTGAAGTGCCTAGTTTAGATTAATGCCTACAATTTTTATCTTGCCTGTGAATCATGCCCAGATGTGAAGACAATAGATTTATTCTGCATGTCGTTAACTCTCCTTTTGTTCTCTTGCCCATTTAAGTAGAGGGCTCTCTAGTG